AGGAATTGATTTTGATGAAACATATGCTCCTGTTGCTAGATTAGAGGTTGTTAGACTTTTACTTGCTTATGCTTTAATGAAAAGTTTCAGGTTATTTCAAATGGATGTCAAAAGTGCTTTCTTGAATGGTTATTTGAATGAAGAAGTTTTTGTTACACAACCACCTGGTTTTGAAGATCATATTCATTCAGAATATGTTTATAGATTAAAGAAAGCTTTGTATGGTCTCAAACAAGCCCCAAGACAATGGTATGAAAGGTTAAGTAATTTTCTCATTTCAAAGGGCTATAAAAGAGGTTTGGTTGATAAAACTTTATTCTTGAAAAAATTGAATAATGATGTAATTCTAGTTCAAGTATATGTTGATGACATCATATTTAGAGCCACTAATGAGTCTTTATGTAAAGATTTTATCAAAGATATGCAGGGAGAATTTGAGATGTCTATGATGGGGGAACTCAACTATTTTCTTGGATTACAAGTTAAACAACTTCAAGAAGGAAGTTTTCTTCATCAATCTAAATACTGCACAAAACTTTTAAAGAAATTTGAGATGGAACATTGCAAAGAAGCATCAACACCAATGTCCACAAATTGCTATCTTGATTCTGATGAAAAAGGAAAACTTATTGATGAAACCAAATATAGAGGGCTTATTGGTTCTTTACTATATCTAACAGCAAGTAGACCTGATATTATGTTTAGTGTTTGTATGTGTGCCAGGTTTCAATCTGCACCAAAAGAATCTCATCTTACTGCTGCAAAAAGAATCCTCAAATATCTCAAAGGAACTTTAAATGATGGGTTATGGTATCCTAGTGAGTCCAAACTAAATTTAATTGGATACTCTGACTCAGATTTTGTAGGTTGTAAGCTTGACAGGAAAAGTACCAGTGACACCTGTCATCTCCTTGGAAGCAGTATAATTTCATGGCATAGTAAAAAACAATCATGTGTTGCCCTTTCTACAGCTGAAGCTGAGTACATTGCAGCTGGAAGTTGTTGTGCTCAATCTCTTTGGATCAAACAACAGCTTGAGGATTATGGTTTAGTTCTCAGAAAAATTCCTCTCTTATGTGATAATATTAGTGCCATTATGTTAACTAAAAACTCAATTCAACATTCTAGGACAAAACATATAGAAATTAGACATCATTTCATTAGAGATCATGTTTTGAAAGGTGATTGTGAAATTTTCTTCATAGAAACTGAAAAACAACTAGCAAATATTTTTACAAAACCTCTTGCTCGTGATCGGTTTTACAAAATTCGCACTGAATTAGGCATGATAGATGCATCAAACATTACTTAGTTTTCAAAACTGGTTGTTTTAATCGATACAAACAAGCTTTAAATCGATTAAAAGCACTTATACAACATTTTTCTTTACTGTTTTAATCGATTAAATATCGATTCAATCGATTATATCAACTTATGTTTTAAACTTTCAAATTTCATCACTATTTTAATCGATTAAATTTTTTTTTTCAATCGATTAAAACCATTAACAAGAACTTTTTAATCGATTCTGTTCTGTTTTTAATCGATTTTTACTCTGGAAAGAAAAATTAAAGGTTTTAGTTAATGACTATTTTTGTAACATGCTACTAAAGCATGGTTCCCTTATCTTTACACGTGTTAATTGTATTCATTACAAACATGTTAATGAAGATAAGTTTGAATCAACTTTGATTGGTCTTTACATGAGTAAGGTATTTTGTCCAAAATTTTTTTTCAAGATCTAAAACTTTTGATACATACCATAAATAATTTTTTGTATTCCTCTGTTCCCTATTTTTGATGAAGTCAAAAGGGGGAGAAATAATTGCTTTAATTTTGATCAATTTAGGGGGAGAAATAATTCTTTATTTAGGGGGAGCAGCAATATAAGGAGAGAAATGGGTAAATGATTAAATTTTTGATCATTCACTAATCTATATTTTCAAGTGACTTCTTCTGCAGAGTTATTCAAAGAAGTGTCAAAGAGGTATTTGTCTTCATCAAATAGGGGGAGACTGAAAGTGATGAAGATCTTATTGAATTACTTTGGCAAATATCTTGTTGATTTGATGAAGACAAAAATGAAGTCAAAGGCTACTTTGTGGCAGTCAAAGGTCACTTAGATAAAAGAGTAGAGGGATTAGTGAGTCTACATCTTTTGCTTAGGTATAATCATTTTTATCTTTCTGCTGCATGAGGTTTCTTCATTTAAAAGATTTTGCAAATGCCTCTAAAAAATGTTTTAACGGTTAAAAACAAAGTACTTTGTGAAAAGGTTTTTAATCAATTATTTTAACTAATAGCTTACAAGTTTTATCAACTAAAATGTTCTTAACACTTTTGTAACAGGTTTTTTAACTGATATGTTTTCGAAATAATCGATTGTTTTCATTAAAGGAAGTTTTGAAAACCTTCTGTCAGTATTTTAATTGATATAGTTTCGAAATAACCGATTAAAATCACTTAAAATGATCAGGAAGTGTTTTGACAGGTATTTTAATCGATACAACTTCGTTTCAATCGATTAAAACCACTTGGAGTAGCAGATGACCGATCAGAATGGGTTTATGATCGATCAGAACCAGCATATGATCGATCAGAGTGTGTTTGTGATCGATCAGAATATTTTTAATCGATTAAACTGCATTTCAATCGATTAAAACAACTTAAGAAAATTTCTGCTAAGCGTTTTAATCGATTAAAATAGATTTTTATCAGTTAAAATCACTTGGAAAAGTTTATGAGAATATTTTGCAGTATTTTAATCGATTGAAAGACGAAACAATCGATTAAAACAAATTAGAAGATTTTTTACAAAGAGTTTTAATTGATATAAATATTGTCGTATCAGTTAAAACAAATCTGGAAAATAATCAAGAACGTTTTAATAGATTAAAAGAAGTTTTAACAGATTAAAACAAGACTTTTAACATATTAAAAGATTATTTTAACAGATTAATTAAACCAGCAGTTTTGAAAATCTTCTATATAAACAGAGTTGTTTAACTTTTTTAATATACATCTTTTACACATCTTTTAGCAATCAATCAAGCAATCATAAGTGCTACTTTCAAGAAAGAATTACGCTAGTTTTTGTGAAGTTCATTGAAGTTCTTTCTTGAGGCAAAATTGCATTCTTTTGGAGAAGAAACACATACTGCAGAACTGCATAAAACTGGTTTGAGCGTTCTTAGTTTCTTCTACTTGTTTCTTTACTTTCTTTTACTGTATTGTGGGTGCCTGGAATTGTGGGCACTGGTTTCTGTAGCTGAAATTTGGCTGCAAGGTTGGTCAAGAACTGGAATTTGGTTCTTGGTGTAAGGTTTAGGTGCAGGAACTGGAATTGTGGTTCTTGTAGTAGATTGAGTGTGAGATTAAGGTTGTAATCTATAAAACATTCAATCTAGTGGAACCCAGCTGGAATTTGGCCGGAGACTGGACGTAGCCCTGGGATTGGGTGAACCAGTATAAACCTTGGTGATATCTTTCTAAACCTTTCTCTTCTTTAATTTTGTGACTGCATTTATTTTTGATTGCTTGCTGTATAATTCAAGAATTGGTCAGATTTCTTAATCTTTGAAATAGATAATCTGTTAATTGCGAAAAACTTTCAAAGATCAATTCACCCCCTCTTGATCTCAGCCTACATTTCTAACACCTATTACTACATTGAATCTGGAAAATCTATCCAAAAACAGCCGTAACATGAAAACAAAAGAAGAAAAACCAGGTATAACACGGTATTTCTCATTTATTTCAAGAGTATAATCTTGTAATAACCAAAAAGAAAACTCCGAGAACAATTTTCTAGTTCCATAATAACTCTCAATATTGAAATTGATATATACACTAATATTCAAATATCGTGTTTATTTAATTAAAAATAAAAATCATGTAAATTTTAAATTGACAATTTTAATAAATTAAAATTACATTGTAATATATTAATTTCACTTACTCTAAAATTAATAGATTAAAATTATGTCTTAACATATTAAAACATAATAATTCAAAACTTTTCACAGCATAATAAATTTTAATATGTTAAAAACTTATTTAATCTATTAAAACAAAAATGTCAAAATCTTGTTTAATCTATTAAAACAAAAATGTTAAAAAATCTATTTTAATGCACATTAAAGTTTTAATTTATTAAAAACTCATTTTATTGAAGTTTCAAACATATTTTTTAAACTGCGAACAAGTTTTAATATATTAAAATTTATTTAATCGATTAAATCATAAAGATTCATTTTTTTTAAATCCAAAATTTGTTTAACCTATTAAAACCTTATTTTAACATATTAAAACATATTCCCTAAAATTATTCATAGCTCTAATTGATTATAATCTATTAAAATAATTATTTAATTTATTTAAAAATAATCTAAAAATATTTTAGCATATTAAAGACATATTTTTAATCAATTAAAAAAATGTTCTATTATCAAGATAAGTTTTAAAATATTTTCAAATAACTTGTTATCATTGATTAACATATTAGAACTTTTAAAAAGAAGCTTACATGCATTCTTAATAAACAAAATATACTCTCTAAATACATTTAAATATTTGATCTTCAAAAGTATTCAAAGAATAGTTAAATTGATCAAATACAACAAAACTCCAGTCCAATTCAGTTCCAACAGTTAACACCGGTCTAGGAGGGACATATAAATAGTATTGTACAATATTGAGAAGGGAGGGGAATTGATTCTTTGTTTGAGGCTGAGAACTCTGTCGAGAGCGTTTCCACTCATGGGATACTTAGTATAGCTGTTTCCTGATTAAATAATAGCAATCCATTCTTTATTTCTTTTGACTTTTTTACTTTATTTGGAATCCTATCACTGACTTTTGTTATAAATATAGATTTCTGCAAACAGAGTCTTTGTGAGATCATTCAATTCATAATTTATGTCAACAATTTTGAGCAATTGGATCAGACTGGAACTGTGAAGTGCGCCAACTTTGTGATGTAAAGGAGAAAGGGTTGCATCCTACTGACCATAACCAGTCCAGTCGTGTTCAGAGAAAAATCTCTAGTGATGGTGGTTCAACTACACTAGATAATTAAGTTACATTTTAACATATAGACATTGACTGTTCTAGGAACCTGAGACACACAGTATGCAAACATGCTAATATCTAAATGTATGTTAATTTATGAATCAAGCATCTATGACCAGAATAAATTGAAAAAGTGGTTTAGCTTCCTGCAGATCCATTTGCTACACATACATCACTATATATTTTTTTATTTATTTTGGGGGATGGGAAGAGAGTTGCAGGGTGGATATGGTAAAAATTAACTGAATCTTTTTAATTTTAAGGGCTTAAACGCCTAGGTATACACCCAATGCAGAATCACATATGCCCATACAGTCAATACACAGGAACTGAACCTCAGCAAACGAAAGATATCTGAATTGAGTTAGACCTAGAACAGTACATGCATCATGCAAATAGATTGGACTCCAATTATTGGACGTAAAATGTACCTCAATTGCAGTCAAGCAAACCAGAGCATGGAGAGGACGAAGGGGAAGCAAAACAGCAAGATGCTCAGCAGTGGCAGTGCTTGCAGCTTTTATAGGCTGCCTTTAATTATTGTCCAGATAAAGGATGAAATCATGAAAGAACTGATGAGGGGATTTTTTTACAATAAATAAATGTATTATCGCAGTTGTTCAATATAAAATTTTAATTATTGATAAACAACTTCAGCAGAGTTATTTCTTGAATAACATTGTGGCACAATGTGACTCGAGACAACATAAGTTTATATAGAAGTTCACCTCCTCCTCTTCCCTGGTTAAATTAACAAAATAAAATGCTTTGACAAAAAATATTGAAAACTCAAGGCCTACGATTATGATGATCACATATTGGTTAACATCCTAAATCTTTTGGCCCACCATCAATAAATTTACCCATCTGCAATAAAAAAAAAAACTGCTTTGCAAGATAGAACAATGTGCGATTTTAAAAAGTTCGATCGTAGGTGAATCTTACCTCAAGCTCGGTACAAATGAATGCCCATATTACAATGTAGAATTTCCCAAAAAGAGGGTTCTGACTGAATGACAATAATCATGTCAAACAGTGCTTCGCCTGAAAATATTTGTCTAGTAAAAGAGGTTCACTGTAAATGAACCCAAGGACTGAACCCCTTGCATGGACCTGGAATGTGCATGCCTACTTCACCGTCCATAAATATTATTATATTTGTCAATTCCCTGAACATCAAACAATACAAAGAAAACCTTTTTTAAAAAGTATTTCAAAATGCAAGTGAAAATAAAAGAAAAAAACATGTCATCAAACCATGTCTGACAACAAAGAGGCAACATCAACGTGTTAGATGAACAAAGTCCATCTTGTTAGTCCTTAATATATCACACTTTTACAGCAACAAATATTCAACAGTAGCTGCACAAAGCCACAATTCCTAATTCATTATATATATAGTCCATGCCAGACTTTTGGTCACTCGGCAAAGCAAACACAAGTGAACTTGAATCTCCATATGAAGAAGAATACACAAGCAAGCTACTGAAATATTTATTATGACTGACGTCACATTCATCCCAACGGTATTCCATATTTGCTTTTCAGCAACTATGGGATAATGTCAAGCATCTTCTAGGTTGTGTGCCAAGGTCATCCATAAACTCATCTCTAATTCTCTAACCTAAGTATTTATTTAATTGAATGAAGATTTTAAAATAAAAATTCCAATAAATTTGCTAGGAATAAAAATGTGGGATGGATGAAAACAGAATGAGCAGCGTATGCACAAATCAATGGATAAAATACATTTTTTTTTTCATTTTTCTTCCTTTCTATTTATGAATTTCAAGAGAACTGCCCAACTTATTTTTATTTATCCATGCACATACAAATGGCTTTCTAAAGTATGAGCATTTACGGATGTAAAGAAGGACATTTTAGAGAACTATGTTTACTCAGCCTTTGCAATTGATACTGCAGAACAGGTCTTTTGGTAGGTTCCGTTGACAGTAGTAAAGGCACAGCAGCTGCTTGACGTGCAACAGCACATACCCTTGCTAAGGCAGGACCCCCGACAGAGGCAACCTAAAACCATAATAATCTAAATAGAAAACTAGGGAGAATGCAAAGTTTTAAACAAACATCATAAAACAGTTATGTAGCATTGTGCTAAAAATATATTTCACCAACCAAAAAGGTCTGAGTATACGTTGGCTAAGGAAAGACTAGAAGTAAAAATTCATGAATGCATACATGAGTGGACTGAACATTGGTTTCTCAGAAGGAACCATCAATGAAGAAGCCCATCCATTATAGCCTTTCATATCCACAGGAAGCGGTTTAATGTGCCTAACTTTCTGAAAAATATAACAAGGGAAACATCAATATTTCGCAGCCTGTCTTTTCAAATGATCAAGCACACAGGTTATCTCCTCGATAATGAAAAACAACTTAAAAAATATCTGCTCGTAATAATTGAAAGTGCCATCAGCAACGGAAGTTGACACAATCTGTCACATAATCCCCGCAGTATTGCACCTAGATGTTCAAGAAAAGAATCTGGCAACCTGTGTAATTTTGGAACTCCTACAAAGAACAAACTCGTGAATTCATTGACGAAGCTAATACTAAGGTCCACACATCATCTGGAAATCTCTTGAACACCTGGGCATACTCCTAATCTTTATAATACAAATTGAACTATTAATTGTTGAATTATTATATACTAATATAAGTGGTATAATGTGTTCAATGGTTAATGAATCTTATAAAACATTGATGTCCTCAACATTGGTATTAGAACTTACTCAGAAGAAATGCTTATATTTTAAACACACGCTTAGTATTTAGAAATCATTAAAATAAAAATGAGATTACCTTCCCAAAGAGCAAGTTTGACTTTACTTTGCGATGTTTAAAAACAAAAGGCTCATATATATTAATCTCAGCTTAAAGAATATCAATGGCCTGATGTTCATTGTTCAACATTGGAAGTAACAATTGACCCACTTTGAGATCTCAATAGAAAAATGAGCCGGGGAAGGAGGGACATTTCTTAAACTTGTTGGATATTTATCTGAACATCCTAATATCAATGGCCTGATGTTCATTCTGCAACATTGGTAGTAACAACACTAGATGAAATTCCTGTCAACTTGAGATAAACCTAGCCCATAAGTGTCCTTTATTTCTATAACAACTTGTTTCTCATTCTCAATCATTTAAGCTGAGCCACAAACTTTTCTTTTTTTTCTTTTGTTTTGGTATTGACAGTGAGATAGGAATCTAAGCATACAATTTGCTACAACACTTGGAAACCTTGTTCTGAACCTTTACTAACTAGGAATGGTACAAGTGGGGGAATAATAATAACAAAAAAATCATATCCAGTTATGACAATATGATCTCTCCTATCCAAGAATGATATAACATGGAGATGTAATAAAAATTAAATCCCCAGACTAACAACACCTCTAGAGCCATGAAAATGACAAGGCTAATTCAATCAAAAATTCTCTCCCCAGTTGAAAATAGTAGAAACACAAAAGAACTAAAAATGCATAAAAATCCAGGAATGAAAAACACTGCTCTCCAGCTTTCTGGACTTGAAAGATCAGAATTAGCAGCCTTAGCAGCTTCAAGGAGCTTCCCAGTCAGGTCGACGCCAACAATGCCAGCTAACGTACCGGCAGTGTTAGAAACACCCATCACTATTCCAGCGTATCTCGGAGCAACATCCATGTGGTTCACTGCAAACCCAGCCCTGCCAAGGGCCAAGAAGCCAAGAGCCACAGATGAACAGAAGACAGCACCAGCAGAAGTTCTGAAACTGGGAATCACCACCAAGGCAAGAGAAGCAATCAAGAACCCAACGGTGTTCAATAATTTCCTGGTTTTGGTGACAGATAGTACTCTCCTGGTTATCAAGTAGTCGGCAACAACACCGCCAATGTTGGAGAACAGGAACATGTTGAGATATGGCATCATTTTAGAGGAACCCATGTCTTGCAGGCTAAGCTGAAGGCCCAATTCAAAGTAGGTTGGGAGCCAGTTCATGAGCACATATAGAGCATAGTGAAAGGTGAAATTATTGACAACGATCGCCCACACAGGGAAGCTGGTTAAAATTTTGACCCAGGGGATTTTGGCTGAAAGTACTTTTTTGTTGTGAGAATCAATTTTTTTATTGACAGGTAAGACTGATTCCCCAACACCAGAGGCAGTGGATTTGGGATCAGTGGCGTATTTGAACCAAAGTAAAGACCATGAAGCACCCAATGCCGCCTCCGCAAGGACCACAGATTGAGGACCTCTGAACTTGACTAGAGTAGGAAGAATAAGCATTCCCAGAGCCGCACCTAGGTACATCCCAGAAGTGGTGAGAGAGACGGATCTAGATCTCTCGTGAGGGGGAACCCACTGTGCTAGAACCGTGTGAATGGAGGGGAAAATAAAACCCTGTGCTACACCAACGAGCAAGCGAGCAACGACTAAAAGCATAACGCGATTGGGATCTAGAGGAAGTAGTGCACAAGTCAACGACCACAACAGAAATGAAAGAAGCAGGACCCTCCTCCCCCCGATTTTCTGAGCAGCCCATCCTCCGGGAATTTGAGAACAGGCGTATCCGTAATAGAAGGTGGACAGTATTGTACCTTTGCTCGATTGATTCACCCCGACACTGTCAGCAGCAACTGTGTACGCGATGGAAAACCCAACACGTTCGATGTAGCAAACTGAGGTGCAGATGAAGGTCAAAATAACAATCAAGTAACGCACAGGGAGCTTCATTGTCAACGCGTGCAAATGCAACTAATTATAAGGATCACAATTGATTGGAGCATGCACAGATAAAAAATGTCGAAACGAAGAGAAGAGTACCTAGCTCTTGCTTAATCTAGCTATAGATTGAATTGGGGTTTGAGAAATTCTACCATCAATTGAATTTCCACCTAACATGGCTGGCTGTTACAATCTGTCATGGACTGTGCGCGGATCCTCTCCCTTAATAATAATAATATGTTTGGCTGACTCAACAATTTATCTTATGATTTTACTAAAAAAATAATTTTTAAAAAGTAAAATGTAAAAGATGGAGGAAGGAGAAGATCAGGGGCTTCTAATTGATAAGGAAACTTAAAGATTAAACGAAAGCGGGTGGCACCTAGGGTAAGAAAATGCGAAAGAGGTTATGGGTAAGGAGAGAAAATGCTTAAGAGGCGAAGAAAAACGATGGAGAAAAGAAATACGTCGGAAAAAGAAAAGACGTGGAAATAAAATATTTCAAGTGAGCAAAAGGGAGCACTGACAAAGAATTTCAAGCTATTAACTTGTTTTTCTTTTGAATTCAATTTGTTTCAATGAATTTTGATTCTCCAGTGATATTTTATTAGGATTTTGGGATTTTTTTTTTATTTTGGGTCCGGATCGTGGGAATTAAATTTTGGTTGAAGATTACATGTTTATCATTTCAACTTTTGTGAATCATTAAAATGTAAACAAATTATTTGTGAAAATGACTCAACCAAAATTTGTTTCTAAAGGTTGTTGTTCTTTTAGTTTTTGCATTGATGGTTATTAGTGTTGAAAGAATAACACAAGCGATTTTTATTGTTGTAAAATTGGTAAACAAAGTTTGATAGAAGTAACAATGGCAGAGTTATATTCCCAGAATGAATAAGCAGAAAATATTATTATGGCATGCAATCATGATTATTTAATAAATTAAATGATAGAGTGAGACAACTATATCTCTATGACATCAAATTTTTACTTTCAAAGACAATGATCAACAAATAGTTTATTGGCTATAATGATCTTTATTAGTGATGGCTTTAAGGATTAATAGTCATAATTAAACAGACTAAACCCAGAAACTAAACTGTTATAATGGAGTCTAGATGGAGAATTCACACAGGAAGACATTTCATCACTCTGAACTACAACTTTTCATTTAACTTTCAAATGATTTTCTTAGTAATTAGCATAGTGTGATCATTGTTTTGATAAAAAATTTGACACTCTAGTAATTCCGTTAATTTGTTCTCAGTGAACCTAAAATTTTACTTTGTTCACCAAGTATGATTCATTCAGAAGGTTATTTTTTGAGTAATCCTGTGCTTTTGCCTTTCAAAGAGAATACCTAATCATTTAGTTCTAGAAATTTATTCATTGGAAAATATATGTCTTATCAAGATTTTTGTAACCCAAAACGAAGTTATAACTGGTTTTATGCACAAAGGAGAACTTTAGATACTTGTGTTTGTAAGAGTGATGGGTTTTCTTTCTGAATTAGCTTTGGTCTAAAATTAATGTAGTGCTTTGTAGATTTGGATGAGCTTCCTCAAATATAAATAATTTATGGTTGTTTAAGAGATTTATTATAAAGGGAATAACTTGGTATATGCCTCAAATAAATTTTATTATGTAATTTCTCTAAACAAGGAGAAATTCGTTTTTTCAATTATCATATTTATTATTCAAGTAAAGGATTACTGTAGTAATATATTTGTACTAAAATTAAAAATTTATCTTCTCAATAGATATTATAATAAGAAAAAAATATGTTTATTGCAAATTCAATCTAAATTATTATACTTTTAAACTATTTTTTATTATAATGTATTAAATTTATTAGTAATTACTTTAAAAATAACATGAAAAAAAATATTTTTCAGTTAATTTATAATCTAAAATTTTTTAGATTCATGTTTATTGAACTCCAAATACTTTTAAAAATGCTGAGAAACAAATATTTGAGAATAAATACTTATTCTAATTTTTTATTTATACATTGATTAATGATCAATATCTTATTGATTAGATGTTATCAAATAATGCATATCAAGAAATAATGTAAAATTAGAGTTAATATGATATGTATCATAAATTTGACTTTCACTTATTATAAGAGTTAGGTTAAAAGGAAATTTATACTAAAAATCGTAAATAAAATGTAATAAACTTATGAACTAATGTAAAATAGTAAATTAATTTTAAAGAAAGCAATTAAACTTGTGTAAAAAATAAAATAATATAAAATATAAATCAAAACAATAAACCTACACTAATAAAGCAATAAATCTAATCATTTATGAAATCATTAAGACATGAAAGTAGTAAAGAAAATAATGAATCTAAAATGTTGAAGATATTGCTACATAAAAAATTTGAAACTTTGTTTGATTGTTTTGAAGCATAATTTGATTTGATGAATCTAACTCTCTCGTAATGATTGAAGATGTAAAATCAATTAATGTGTGATGGATTATTCTTTGATTAAATGTAAGTTTCTCCGTTAATGATTGATCCTAGTTTTTGAATTTAGGAATTAATTAAGGTTTAAGGGTTTAGTGCTTATGAGTTAGGGTTTTGGAGTTTTAGTGTTTAAGGTTTAGGATTTCATGTTTAGAGTTTAAGGTTTAATATTATAAGTTAGTGTGGGGGTAAGGGTTGATGTTTATGATTAGGGTTTGGGTGATATTGTTTATGATTTAAGATTTAGAGGTTAATGGGTTAATGTTAGGGGTTAGTGTTTAAGGTTTATGGTTTACATTTAAGGGTTAATATTTAGATCAGAGGTAGAGGTTATGAGATATGATTAGGGGTTAAGATTTAGGGTTTAGAGTTTATTATTTGTGATTTAGGTGTTATAATTTAGGTGTTAGGGTTTTGAGGTTTGCATTTTGAAGTTTGAGGTTTAGGGTTTATGGACTATGGGTAGGTTTTAGGGTTTATGGTGTAGAGTATAAGGTTTATGGTTTGAGGTTTTGGGGTTCAAGGGTTAGGAATTATGGGTTAATAGTTACAAGTTAAAATTAGAGGTTTTGGGTTTAAAATTTAATAGGTATAGTTTAATTTTAGAATTTATGGATTAAGGATTAGATGTAAATGTTTATTTGTTAGGGTTTATGGGGTATATGTTAGTATAGGTTATGTTTACATGTTACAATTTGAGGTTTAAGATTAGGGTAAGGTTTGATGTTAAGATCTATGGATCAGGTTTGTGAGTATGAATATATGTTAAGGTTGAAGTCTAAGGTTTGTGTTATATTTACATTAATAATTTTGATTCCTTTAAAATTAATTATTATTAAATATATATTTTCTATATTTATAGTTTTAGTCTATTATTTTTTTTATATTTTTTTATATTTTCATACTTATTTATTATTTATTAATAATATATTATTTGATCCAAAAAAATCATTAGGGTTAGAGTTTATGGTTTAAGATTTATGAATTAGAATTTTGGATTTATGATTTTGAGTATAGGATTTCAAGTTTAAGATTTTGTTGTTTATGGTTTAAGGTTTGAAGTGTGGGATTTAGGGTGGAGAGTGTAAGATTTATAGTTTAAAGTTTATGATGTTGAATTTAAGGTTTTGGGATTTTTTTAGAAAAAGAAAAAAAAATTATATGGATGAAAAGAAATTAAGTGTTTCCTTAATATTAATAAAAAAATAATAATCATATAGATATATAAGACATTTGTTGTATTAGCGATAAAAAATAAATCGTATAAGTGTGTCAGATTCTATTTCCATCAGAGTTTGACCCATGTCCTATCTTAAAAAAAAAAACGTCACAAGCCATAAGAATAGTATCCATGAAAACCCAAAAGTATGGAGAAAGGCTCCACACTTCATGAACTAAAATAGATTTTATGTTCACATTTACAAAGGCTCAAGTCTATCACTTAATTTTCTAGAAAAAATATAACCAATTATAAATAGTGAATTAAAATAAATTCCAATATGATAAAAACGTATTAAATGAAGAGATAAAATTTTCAAAGACTTAAAAATTCAAATTTCAATTGAAAAGGAAACACCACTACACTCTTCTATTCTAAAACTTAATTCTTAAATTCAACAATTTAATATTATAAAGTTTTAAAGCTTTAGAAATAATAATAATAATAATAATAATAATTAATAAATAAATCTAAGATTTTTAGTAGTCTTATTTACGTTACTCTCACCTTTTACTCACGTTGTCCTTTTTAAAGGCCATCATTTGCTATAATATAGTAATAATACGATAAGAGGTATCCAAATTTAGTTTGTATTTTGTGATTACAAATCATCTTTGAAGATTTTCTCCACTGTAGTCTTCCCCCTTGTCTTTCTCTTCTTACGTGACACCCTCTTTAATTTCTTTAACATTCTGAATTATTCATCTCAAATATTTAAACATAAAAACCAGTGATATGACGTCTCCCATTAAAATTTCACCGCATATACTTTTGTCTTACTCTATTATAACCGAAAACCCTTTGTTTCCAAAGTTGACCGTTTCCTATGATTACTCAATCAAAACTATCATCTGCTAATAAAAATGCAATTAGGGATAATCTTGTGTATTCTCCTATTAATCTTGTGTATGCAAACATGGATTATAGTCCTTTCATATTAGTATCCTGTATGTGTTCACTATTAAAAAACTTGCAGAAACACGTACTCTAACTAGCTTTAATATCATGTTCTGCAACCAACACTTTTTCATTCTTTATGCATCTAACATGATCTAAATCTCCTTTATTCTTTTCTCTATTTTTGACAAGCTCATATGTCTTACTTTCTCTATTCTTTATCCCAAGGACATTAGATTTTTGTGCTTCATTGACAACTTATACAAGCATTTAAAGCATTCTCTTTTACTTTTTTTACCTTGTCTTAACATTTCTATTCCACTACCTCGATTCTTTATGCCTTCATCTAGACTCCCTCAACTCCTTCAATAATTTTCCTTATCTTCTTAGGCATATCAGTCCAAATAAAGTTAACAATAATTTAGAATTCCCAGTAAACTTAAAAACCTTCTGCTTAGAAGTTAAAAGTTTGATTCACATGGTTACAGAAAAGGAAAACAAAATTGGGATAGTATCTACATCTCAAACTTTGACCCACATTTTTTATTGGTCAGATATAAACAATAGAGTACACGACAACGACAAAGTGGCACCAACAATGTGCCGTAAGTAATACTCTAGACGTTGTCGAAACAATGCTGCAAGGAATCAAATAATATAGCTTTGAAACTACGGTAGGATGTATAGGCATTATGAATACAAACACTAACAAAGACAAGACACATAATGCCAGTTAGTTAAAATGTAGGTTTCGGAGCTTAGCAGAAATTGCCAGGAAACTCCATAATGGTTTAATCTTCTTTACGTTTGAACAGGGATTGGCCAATCTTAGAAGAATGAATTTACCTTCATTAGCTAAAAAAAAAAAAAAAAGAAACAATAATAAAAACTACAGCAGTTTTCCACACCTACTTCAGAATACACGGACAAAAAAGTTAACCCACGCAAATAAATGTCAATCACCGGCTTAACTCATCAAATAAATCCACAATTTTTTTCTTCATACACGTTATAATTCAAATTTTGGGAAAGAAAAGCATTAAAACAAAAACATATTACCATATACGAAGGTTTTACTGAAGAGTCAGCACAACGAGCCAGTTTTAGTGTTGCATTTACAAGTAAAAGAAAATGAAAGAATTAATACTTTTTAATTAAAGAAACAAGGAGATGACTTACACCATAATTCGTGACACATTTGAACCCCAAACACTAACATATAGAGAGAACTTAACACCCCACAACAAAAGTATGGGAATTCTCACATCATGTACTGAAATCAGATGCAACAAACTTCAGTCAATCACCAGACCCAAGTAAACACCAACCAAGTTACATCTTCAGCGAGGGAGATGCTATCTGCTGCTCTGTATATATGCATTTACTGCATAATGGAATTGAGACAATCTTTGTCTAAGCAGCAAGAACTACGATAACGATCAGAAGCACAATCCCAAAAATCACCAAAAGCAAGCATGTCTATGAAGAAAAAAAGAGAAGAAAAGAAAAAATAAAACACAAGGTTAACAAGGGAAATACACAAAGATTTCAAAGGGTAACAAGTGAAAACTAAAAAGTTTGACCAAAGATCAAAGTGAAAACTCCTGTAAGTAGGAAACTACAAAAAGTAATAGGTATTCCATCAACTACTCCTCTCCTTCCTTTCCCTACTGCGACAACTATGTAGTAATCTCACTTTCAAAGTGGAAAACAAATAGTATGTAATAAGTAAATTGATAAAACTAGACAAAAGTTATAAGCTAATCCACCTAAAAAGATTCAAGCTGCATGAATATTAGAATATGTTTAAATAAATTTCTCTATAAGAATTTCTAGAAGGAGAAAATAACAATATAAACAAAAATATACTTTTCTCCATAATCTAAATTGAACTCATACATAAGCTTACAATAATCTTTTAGAGAAGCTAATGAGAGAAATTCAACAAATTAGCTTATTTGCAAACTAATTTTAACTTATGAAGAAGTTCATTTAATTTTTCCTTCATATTTTCTTCTTGCAAAAATACTTATGGAGAAGTTTATTCAAACAAATGCCTAGTCACTTATAAAACTATGTGCCATGTACTATAGTCATTAAGAAAATTATTTTCACAAGTCAAGACAACTTCAGCACAACAAGCCCATACACTATCATTTTTAAGTCAAACTCCTTTCTTTGGCCCTCAGTCGAATCCTCTTTAGAAGATATCTCCTCTGGTGATTCCACATATAAAAATTCATTTCATGGAAGGAGGTTGAGTGTTACAAACAGTAATTTAAGCAATTAGAAAATTGATACATTACCAAAGAGGAATTTGATCTTTGGGTTTTTGAAGCTTTTAAAAGTTGAGATTTTGCTTGTGCTGTTGCTGCATGGGAGTTCTCAATGTTGGAGCCAATATCATCTATTAAAATGAAATTTAGGGGCATTAGAGAACATAAACAAGTACAGAAAAATAAATTCGTGCAACAATACAAAGTTGCTAGTAATCAGGAAGACAAAAAGGAATGTTAAAAAATTACCAATCATGGTTCCTTGCTCATGAACGAGCACAGCAAGATCTTTAAAGATCTCGTTAACTTCACCAATTTGCTGTTGTATTTCTTGAATGCCTTGCTCTCGTTCCTCAATTATAGCCTCATTGAAGGCAATCTCATTATCTAAGAATAAAACCTCCTGTCTGCAGCACGAATAACACGAGCTAAGGTATTGAAATAATGCAATGTGGAGAATTTGAACAATCTGATCCGATAAACAAGTTCAGTTGTTCATCTACTTTAGTGACACAATGGAGAATTCTAACATTGATTATGCCACCAACTTCATTGCACCACAGAAAATTATAAAAGAAAAAAAAGAGGGAAGAGGGAAGAGAGAAGCTTTTCTTAATTGAGATCAATTCTTTTCAGCAGAATAGTGTGTTGCAGACAAATACGTCAGGCTGTGCTAAATGCAACAGTTAAATTGGAATGATAGCCTTTTTCCTGATAAACAACTGACGTTCAGTTGTCCAAACAAATTTAACAATGTAGACATGATCAACTAATGTTTCCAGCTCATTTAAATTACCAACAAAGAAAAAATAATAATATCCTTTTTTTCACCTATTGTAAATTTTGAAAATGATTAATCCTGATCATTGACCTAAAGATACATTTCAAAAATTGTTTTGTCACACCATATATGGGACAAATTGCAATAATATTGTGAAAAAGAATCTGCAAGATTAACTTCTAATAATAAATGAGAAAATACCTCCTTGATTCCACAAGTAAGGCACGCTCTTCGGGTGACTTATCAGAACTAACATCTATTTCACCAGCAGTATAGCTGCAAGCCAAAAGGAACATCCATGTCATAAACATTGTATGCAAAGGTATAGAAAGCACTTATAGTCACTATAGAAGAACAATTTATCACCAAGAAACCAAATGTTATCAAATTAAACCACAAATTGCAAAAAGTAACTTAATCTTCATTGTTCAGAAACAGATCACTCTGCATAAACCACACACTTCAAAACAAGGGAGAAACACAGTCTTGCCCCTAAACTTCTATAGGCTCTAATTATAATTGATAAATCACCTCGAAGGAAGGACTGCTTGGGGAACAAAAGGAGTGTATGCTGTTTCCCTTTCAGCTGCAAGACGTTGTGCCTTTTGAAACTCTTTCAACACTGCTTGAAAATCTTTCGCAAGTTTAGCATCTGCGATCTTCTTACTTGCCTGAAAAAATAAGAAAAGTTTTAGGTAAAAAAAGGCATTGAAGTTATGCACCCGATACAAAACGGACTTTTGTCTGTTACAAATTTTCAGTGTTCTTCAAAAAATTGATGCAGATTCCTTATGAAATTACCAATTCAGACAAATGTCAGCAAGAATTTAAGCAATAATAGTGTTCAGAGAAGTTAACGCATTTTGGAAGATGATAGAAAAATACTGACAGATGCAGAACAACACAAGATAAAGTATCAAACATACATTAACACCAGCATGGTGATCAATGTCACTGGCTTGCTTAAGTTTATCTGATGTATCCTTCACCAATTGCCCAATGTGTAGTCTTGTCTTGTGGCTGCAAATTTTTAAAATGGTTAAAAAACATTAGTCTAACACAGTAAGAACCAAAGAGGTCCTTGTTCCAATAAATCATAACTTAATATACAAGAGGGATAGTGTTCCGTTTGCAAGGCTGAAAAAAGAGTTCAGTTTCGCAACATCCCTCGGCTTCATCTGTTAACTACTTTTGAATCATGAAGCTAGCTTTTACAATATTGTAACTACTTAAAATAAGTACAGGGGGAAATCATCACATGCTCCATTATATAGAATGTCCTGCTCCTGATTTGAAAAATTACCATATCACTATTATAGCATAGTCCCGACTAGAGAAACAACAAAGGAAACAGGGCCTCAATCAAAGCATCAGAAATAGCAATTTTGATTATTCTTCCATCTACTTTCCGACTGACAAAGACAGTGGCACAAATAACAAAATGTCAACACACAAAGACTTAAAAAACGAAGTGGAGGCCCCAAATTGTGAAGGCAGATACGAAGCAACTGGGAATTAAATTAATGAATGTAACCTCATATCACCACTGCAATTCAATCGAGAACAAACCCAAACTTAGCCCATCTATACGAACACGATGCCCGAAACACCAAGCAACATGGAAATATCGTAATTCGAGGGGTAAATCAGTTGAATCGATAGTTTGGATGTTGAAGGGGGGAAAAAGGAGGGGGGCTTTTTTTTTTTTCTTCTTTTTCTTCAGAAAAGAAAATTCAATTACGATCAGTTAGCCGAAATCAAAGAAATTGAGTGTGATGATGAAGAACTGACAGCTTCTCGCGGAGGTCGGGAGTGTCTTTAGGGGTTCCGAGGGTGTTGACGAGTCTCTGGAAGGTGGAAACGGCGGTGTTGATCTGGAATATTCCGGCAGCCACCGCTTGCGTAGGGTCCTGCTTGCCGTTGGTCAACCCGCGCTTGGAACCGAAGGGCCGGCCAGCCTCGATGTCCTGAAAGCTCATAATTCCGTTTCACTTTCTCGAGAAAACCGGGGGAATTTTCCTGAGAAAGGGAGGGAAAAGGCAAAGGAGGCGTTCACCGGGATCTGGGAAAATAAAAAGAGACTGGAATTTGGGGAATTAGGGCAATGGAAGAAAAGGGCAGCGAAGGAAGATTTGGATTCGGTGAGGGTAGTTTCTTCGGTGGGTCTCTATGGTTGTAATTCCCTGCCGCTACATTGACGTGGACCCGCTCTTGGGGACACGTGGCTGGCTTCCATAGGGTGAAGGTCAAGCTTCCACTTTGGTGGCGTCGTGGGAAATTAACAATTCGTAATGATTGGTGTTGTGTCTGTTTAATTTTAAATTGCGAGGAGAGAGGGAGCCAGCGTGGACGGTGCGTGTTACCTTCTTGTTTGGTGCAAACTGTAATAATTTTGGTTTCTTGTTTTTGTACTGTTCTAATCATTTAATTAAGTTTAATACTATAATTAATTAACTTCTAATATGTTTTCTCGTCATATATTCTTTTTATCTTTTTAATGTCTTTAATAAACTGTATTCTATCATCATAAATAAACTTTTAAAAATCATATTTTATCTTAAACGCTTTAATATATATTTTCGAATTTAAAATTTGATGACATGTGATGCAAGTTCTATTTATTTATTGAGGGTAAATGTAACTTTCGACGAATCGGTCTATCAGTATATTTTAAAATTATGTATTTTGTTTTTAAATTCTCGTAATTAAAATAAATTTATTTTATTTTTATACTTATTTTTTGATTAATATATTCTCAAACATATAATTTATAATGTATTTTTTTAATAATGAACTTAAAAATATATTCTAAAATATTTGGATATATTCTGAAACATATAATTTATAATGTATTTTTTTAATAAATTTAAAAATATATTCTAAAATATTTGGAATATACTTTTGAAACAGTTAATTCAAAAATATATTTTAAATTAATTACACTCAAACTCATTTTTTGTTTAAAAATTTACTTTAGATTAAATATATTCCTATATACAATTTTAGTCTAATCTTTATATAATAAATATCAAATACTAATAATTTTTTATCTTATAGGTTGAAAATAATCGTCAATAAAAATAAAATAATAATAAATTAAAATTGTAAAAAGTACGAAGATGAAAAAAATACGAAAGTATGTTTTAAACAAAAATTACTAAAAAGATATTTCAGTTTTTATATAAATTATAAGAATATAGGAAGAAATTATGAAGGTAAAAGAAAAAAATATTTTAATTTAGTAAAATAGATTAATAATTTTAGTATGTTTATTTAGTGTGTCAATTCTAAGATGTTTAAAAAAAATTATATATTAAAATAATAATTATAATTTAAAATGTTATATATTATTAATATAAGTAAATATATTATAATTTAAATTATAAATATTAATAATTAAACTTAAATTATTAATTATAATTAAATGTTTTAACATATAAATTTTGTAATTTATTTAATAAAATATTAATTAATAAAAAAATTAAAAAATATTTTTTAAAAATAATATAAAAATTATATATATATATATATATATATATATATATATATATATATATATATATATATATATATATAATATAACCGTTCTATCCTTATAATCCAAAAACTCAATTTATCCTATTTTGTTTTTTTATAATTAAATTTTTTAAAATATTATTTAAAAATTTATTTTGTTTTCTCTTCCCTCTTTAAATATATTTATTTTTTTTGTTAATTTTTAATCTTGTATCATATTTTTGTGAACTTTTAACAAGTAATATAGACTTTGAAATTCTGTACTTGAAAATTGTTATTAATTACATAAACTGATTACACATCTAAAGTAAATGGAAAGCTTAAAAACTACCCTATTACTTAGGTAGGAAGTAATGAATAACAGACTAATACTTGAGCTAGAAAATAGCTCTACTCCCTAAAATATAGGTCAGTTATTGACCTAGTTTATTCAGGTTTCATAACTATTAAATAAGAATTAAAAGCAGCTAAAACAATTTATTATTAACATTCCCTCCTTCCCTTAAACTAGATAAGCATCTAGTTTATTTCTTGTGCTTCAACCATTCCCAACATGCTTCTAAGCTTTAAAAATTGTTCTAATTTGAGTGGTTTGGTCATTATTTCTGTTGTTTGGTCCTGTGTATTGCAGTAACTGAGATTGATCTTTCCATCTTTAACAAGTTCTCTTAAAAATTGAAATCTAACGCCAATGTGTTTGCTCCTTCCATGAAAAACTGGGTTTTTGTACAGTTGAATGACTGAATTGCTGTCACATAACATCAGAACATTATTTTCCTTGTTGAAGCCAAGAATTTCCACGATCCTTTTAATCCAAATGCTTTGACATGCACAAGATGCAGCAGTTATATACTCAGCTTTCGTTGTGGATAGTGTAACTATTGGTTACTTCTTTGAGGACCATGAAACTGCTCCAGATCCTAAGAAGAAAACAAATCCTGAAGTACTTTTTCTATCATCCGAGTCTCTAGCAAAATCACTATCTGTATAGGCAATTATACTGGTGTTTGCTCCTCTCTTGTAATATATCCCAAGTTCTGTAGTTTCTTTCAAGTATCTTAGTAGTCTTTTAGTTGCAGTCCAGTGAGTTTTAGTGGGGTTGACCATGAATCTACTGATTAAACTGACTCTATACATAAGATCTAGTCTAGTTGTTGTCAAATACATGAGGCTGCCTACCACTTGTTTAAATAAAGTGGCATCCACCTTGGTCCCTACATCTTCTCTGGATAATTTTGTTCTTGGGACAATTAGATTTTTGACAACTTTGCAGTCCTTCATCCCAAACTGTGATAATACATCATGGGCATACTTCCTTTGACACATAAAAATTCCCTTTGAATCTTGTAAAATTTCCACTCCAAGAAAGTACCTCATTCTTCCTAGATCAGTCATATCAAATTCTGACATCATAGAATTTTTGCAGCTATGACATAGGCTCACGTCATTTCCAGTATATATTAAATCATCTACATATAAGCTTACAATTAAACGTTTACCTCCTTCAGCCGATTTGGTGAAAAGTGTGTGTTCACATAGACATCTTTCAAAACCATTATGTAGGAAATAGGCTTCTATTTTGTTGTACCAAGCCCTTGGTGCTTGTTTGAGACCATATAACACCTTTCTTAATTTGTATACCTTCCCTTCTTCACCAATCTTTAAAAAACCAGTTGGTTGTTGTACATAAATTTCTTCATTGAGTTCTCCATGTAAGAAAGCACTTTTCACATCTAACTGAAACATATTCCAACCATGGTGTACAACTGTTGAGAGTATTATCCGTATGGTGTCAAGTTTCGCGACTGGTGTGAAAACTTCTGTGTAATCCACTCCATATTATTGTGCATACCCTTTAGCAACTAACCTTGCCTTAATTTTGTCAATTTCTCCATTTTTCTTGAGTTTAGTTTTGAATATCCATTTGACTTCAATTGGCTTCATTCCCTTCGGCAAGTTAGTTAATTCCCAGATTTTGTTCTTTTCTGTTGCTTCCATTTCTCTTTTCATAGCATCTCTCCATCTCTTGCTCTTAATGACTTTTTCAAATGTAACTGGATCATTATCTGTTACTAACATCACAACTGCAGTATCATCATCTGAAATACCTTCTCCTTTATCATAATCTGCCATCCAGATTGGTTGTCATCTGCTCCTTCTAGCCCTCCCTTCAACTGGTGCTTGAGGTGCTGAAATATGTGGCTCATTATGAGATACTACTTGTCTGGAGTGATCACTAGAAATTTTTGCACCTTGTTGTTTTGTTTCATTGATTTCATCTTCTGCTGATTGTTGTTCAGTGCTGCTTACTACATCTCCCCAATCTAAATTATCGAGATGATTATCTAGCTTATTCTGCTCCCAGTTCCAATTTTTTTCTTCCTCAAAAATGACATCCTTGCTGATTATGATTCTGTTATTGATAGGATCAAGCAACTTGTACGCTTTTGCTTCTTCACTAACACCGAGTAAGACGCATTGTTTACTCTTGGTATCCAGTTTGATCCGTTGTTGATCAGGTGTGTGGACATGAGCAAGACATCCAAATACTCTAAAGTACTCTATTGTTGCCTTTACTCCACTCCATGTCTCTTCAGGAGTTTTATCTTGTACTACTGATGTGGGGCTTCTATTGAGAATGTGGACACACCATTTTGTTGCCTCTGGCCAGTATATTTTTGGGACATTCCTTCCTATTATCATAGCCCGAACCATATTCATAATGGTCCTATTTGTCCTCTCAGCCACTCCATTCTGCTGAGGAGTGTATGCAGCAGTAATTTGTCTTTTAATTCCATGATTCTGACAGAAAACTACAAATTCTTGGGATGTAAATTCTCCTCCCCTATCTATTCGTAAGCATAGAATGCTCTCTCTAGTCTCCTTTTCAACCAATGCTTTGAAAATTAAAAAAAAAATGAAAGGCTTCTGATTTTTCACTCAAAAAATATACCCAAGTTTTTCTTGATAGATCATCAATAAAACTCAGAATATACCTTTTGTTGTTGTTAGATGTTGGCCGAATAGGTCCACATAAATCTGCATGAACAAGTTGTAAGTTCTTTGATGCCTTCCATAAGCTCCTTTTTGTCATGGTATTTCGGTGCTGCTTTCCAGCGGTTGAATATAGAGTAAATAGGGTTTGCGATTAATCTCCCTTGTGTATAAACCACACATAGGGTAATTTATTTATAATAGAGAGATGTACAACTAAAAGAGTAACCGAAAATAAACAGAATAAATAGAACATATTGTTTGATATTGTGGTTAACAATATCTAACAATATTTTAACAATATCTAACACTCCCTCTCAAGCTGGTGCATACAAATCATATGTGTCAAACTTGTTACAAATATAATCAATTATAGGCCCCGTAAAGACTTAGTGAAAATATCTGCTAACTGATCACTTGAGTTAACAAACTCAGTCTTGATGTCTCTAGACATAATCTTTTCTCGAAT